CTTCTATAATTCTAATACTGTTTTTTACCCCTATCTCTAAGTTTCTTTTTGATCACACCTATCGCACATAATGACCGAGTCCCTCCTAGGTAGATGGAAGGTTTGTTTATTGATTATTTCTGGAAGCACACCACTGAGTAAATTTTAAATAAGCATTTGATTATTTCTTCTGAAACGGTCTGTTACTAAATCCGCCATGGACGGCAAAATACCCACTAGTATGTTGAAAACAAAGAATAATCAAGCTTGACGGGCTGTGTTCCTTTTGCTTTTGTGTTTGTTTACATTCTTTCGCCATCCAGTGTCATGGCGGATTTTTGTACCATGTGACCGTTTGATACAAAAGGCCTCTTATACGGATTATCATTTATGCACTTCAATTATTAAACTATTATTTGATAACCAATATTAATCCATTGGTGAACTCTATACCGCATCAAGAACGTTCGACTGCCATATTGGAGTTTCAGAGGACTTCAATTGTGTTCCCTTAATTGAATCCCGACAAAACTTTGGCAAATGCAGCGATCCTGGTTTCAAGAGATTTTTGTAGTGCTGTTTATTCGCATACTAGTAAAGTCTGTCTGATATGAGAACTGTATTCCTCTTCCTATGGATTACTTGGAAAGCAAAAACGACGTGGACTGAACAGATAGGTGAATGACTTCACACATTCCATCGAGAACATCGGTTACCCACCCCCACCCCCCATAGATAAATCTACTGAAGAATGATTTTACAAACACTAGTATGTATCATATGCTAATTCCTGAGCTGAGATCTGATTGGCTCGATGCTCCCTAAGGACTTGAGTGACGTCATATATTAGCATAGAACTTCGCCGAATATAGACTATCCCGATTAGGTATTAGATATCTATATGTGTCTTCATAGTACGATGGTCTAAGAGGGTAGCTAAAGGTATGCTCTAGTGGGCGGCTACTCCCTCACTCCCTGGTCTTTTGGTTAAGACTAAGTTTTATGTATCACCGGGATAGCGTGGAAGAGCCGAAATCTCTAACCGTARCGTAAGCCGATTCGACGCCTCAGCTTCATAGAATGTCTCGGGGGAATCGTCCCATCTTTTTTAATTTTTTAATTTTCATTATTTCTTATTATGCCAGGGGGGTGCATCTTCCACTCAAGTTGAAGTCCTGAGTTCGAGTCCTGCTGCTGGAATTTCCTTTTTTGCTTGTTTATTGATTCTTTTTCTTTGTTTTTTTCCCCGTTGCTTCTTTTGTTTTATTCTTTTTTTCTTTGTAGTAGTTACTTTGTTGTTTTTCTCTAGATATTCTTTCTTTTCAAATTAAACATATCAAGGCGACAGCAATGATATTAAATGTAGGCGTTGATCAGTTTGGTGACTATACATGTAACAAAAGCTTTAAAAACTCAAGTAGGAACGTTGAGTTACCTTATGAAGCAACGATCAAATTAACGACCGTCTAAAAAATGATGTTTGCTTGAAACTTTCGACGTTCATGCCCAAAACTAATCATTTCCTGAAGCCGTGAAATGTTTGCATGACTATTTATCAATAAAACTTGGTTTTTATAAGCAATCAATATTTTTTTTCTTTTTTCAGACATCAATGAATGCACATCGAAAGCGCATAATTGCCATGCTAACGCAGACTGTACAAACAATGTGGGCTCATTTTCTTGTCAGTGTAGACGAGGCTACCAAGGTGATGGCCGTACGATGTGCTCAGGTACATTTACAGTTGACATGGCAATAAGCGGCAATCAAAAAATGATGTTCAGAAATGCAAAGAGCAGGTTTATGTTGTTAAAAAATGGCAAAGTCTCAAGTCTCAACTCTAAATACTTCAAAAATGACAGCAAATGTAAAATCTTGATTTTTTTAAAGAATAGAACTGGAGAGCAATCCTTTCTCTTCATTTCTGTTTTTGCATATGTTTCTTTAGTATTGAGACTTGAAACTGTGTCTTCTCACTTATTTTGATTTCCCCTCTTTACATTTCTGAACATCATTTTGTCATTGCTGTTTGATTTATGGTAGGTGTGGTCGAGTGACCCCCAGCTGCAAAGGGCCTATTGTGATCGACACACAAATTGTTTTTATTTTTGTTATTCTGAGTTGATTCCCCCTATACAATGTTTTTATTAGGTAATCGTCTTTTGCGCCAGTATTTTTAATAACAATATTTCATAATTGTTGTAAAAAATACTGGCGCAAAAGCAAAAGACGATTACGTAATAAAAGTCTACGCGCGCCAAAATGGTTCAGTTGTTTTAATCACTCAAAATTCAGAAAATTTTCACGTGTCTCCGGTTCACTAACACTCATTGATTGGTATTGTGACGTCACTTTCACAGATATTGATGAGTGCTCTCCTGGAAAAAACAAATGCCAATTAGCTGGCTTGGTGCACTGTTCTAATTCTATCGGCGGCTATACATGTAAACGTAAGTTATTGTACTGGTATATAAGATATGATAATGATACAGGGCATACTACGTACTACGTACACATGACTTCTTTTTTCGTAAGCCCAAATAATCATCTATAGTAACAATGAAAAAAGTTTATTGATGAATACCGTTGTTGGATTCGAGCCCTAGCTCTTCTACACAATAATTCTAATGAGCTAATCAATAAAAAGACACGATATTGATAAGAACGTCGTCATAAACCATATAAACACTTTGCATGTGACGTCAAAACACCTTCATCTGGAGGACTAAACAAAAGATTTTACGTTTGCTCTCTTGTGAACAGGATCGATTCCATTGCTTTTTCGCTCGAGTTGGAGAGGCATTCCCATCAACTGCAGGGGAACTTGCTCTTGCTCTTGCTCTTGCTCTTGGGGAGGAGATTTGCAAAGGAGACTAGAACATCTATCAAGTATCAATACCCATAATAACGGGCGTGCTTGCTCTGACAATCTTTNCGACACACAAATTGTTTTTATTTTTGTTATTCTGAGTTGATTCCCCCTATACAATGTTTTTATTAGGTAATCGTCTTTTGCGCCAGTATTTTTAATAACAATATTTCATAATTGTTGTAAAAAATACTGGCGCAAAAGCAAAAGACGATTACGTAATAAAAGTCTACGCGCGCCAAAATGGTTCAGTTGTTTTAATCACTCAAAATTCAGAAAATTTTCACGTGTCTCCGGTTCACTAACACTCATTGATTGGTATTGTGACGTCACTTTCACAGATATTGATGAGTGCTCTCCTGGAAAAAACAAATGCCAATTAGCTGGCTTGGTGCACTGTTCTAATTCTATCGGCGGCTATACATGTAAACGTAAGTTATTGTACTGGTATATAAGATATGATAATGATACAGGGCATACTACGTACTACGTACACATGACTTCTTTTTTCGTAAGCCCAAATAATCATCTATAGTAACAATGAAAAAAGTTTATTGATGAATACCGTTGTTGGATTCGAGCCCTAGCTCTTCTACACAATAATTCTAATGAGCTAATCAATAAAAAGACACGATATTGATAAGAACGTCGTCATAAACCATATAAACACTTTGCATGTGACGTCAAAACACCTTCATCTGGAGGACTAAACAAAAGATTTTACGTTTGCTCTCTTGTGAACAGGATCGATTCCATTGCTTTTTCGCTCGAGTTGGAGAGGCATTCCCATCAACTGCAGGGGAACTTGCTCTTGCTCTTGCTCTTGCTCTTGGGGAGGAGATTTGCAAAGGAGACTAGAACATCTATCAAGTATCAATACCCATAATAACGGGCGTGCTTGCTCTGACAATCTTTTTTTTTGAAAGGTCTACATGAATGTACTATATGGCTTTGCCTTCGTTCTCCTTAACTAGCTCAATGTTAATTATCTATTGCTATTGGTATAATGTCTAGGTACTTTCAGCGCAAATGGGTCAGGTCGGAATGGCAACATCCAATCGTTTGTCATAAGAAAAACTGGGAAATACATGATACGAGCAGAAGGAGCAAGAGGTGGGACACACTATTACACCTATGGATACAAACCAGGTATGCCATTAATTCAACATTATCCCTCTATTATATGTTTAAGGTATTTTATTATATGGTATGTCCTCTTATTTATGACCACGGTCGTCATGAAATCGTCACAATTGTTATTCATCCACGAGACAAAGTCGATCATAAATCCAATAAGAAATTGACAAAAAWTACAACACTGTGGTAAAATATCAGTATTGGATGGCTTGCAGTTTTCTTACCTACGGAAAATTGCCACTATTTCGTCACTAATAACAGATGACTAAAGCATATTCCATATGAATCATTACTTTTAGGAACTTACTATGGAGGGAGGGGTGCGGTCGTCGTTGCCACCAAAGTGATCACTGTTGGCACTACACTGAATATTGTAGTCGGTAAAAGAGGAGGAAACTCGGTCGAAGTCAGTGGAGGAGAAACCACCAGAAAGACCGCAGCTCAACTTGGCAAATCAGTCGAGGATAACGCAGGCACTGGTGGGGGTGGGGGTAGCTTTGTTTATACGGCTGACAATATTTTATTGGTGGCCGCAGGGGGTGGTGGGGGTGCATCCTCTGGATATCATGGTGTTAGCGGTACTTTGAGTACTTCTGGGACATCAAGCATGGGATTTAACGCCAATCATTCTCGAGGGGGAGGTACATTTGGTAGCCCAGGCAAGTGTAACAATGTCGGTGCCAGCTACCATGGAGGGGTTGGTGCGGGTTGGCATGGCCAGGGATGCGCACGAGYTGATAATAGTCCGCACGGAGAGCCAGGTGGGTCACGTGCTGAGGGCTGGGTAGGAGGGCGCGCCGGAGATATGAACAGCGGATATAACGGTGGACCTACTCCTGGTGCGGTAGGGGGATTTGGAGGGGGTGGGGGTGGATCAGAAGACAATGGTGCATCCGGAGGTAGAGGTGGATACTCGGGAGGTGGCAGTGGCACACATGAACGTCAAGCCGGTGGGGGAGGGGGCTCATACTGCCGTCCAAGTGATTGTCGCAAGTACTCTGGAGCGAATACAAACGATAAYGGTATAGTGATTGTATCGTTCTTGGGGCCGTAAATACAATATTCATAAAAATATAAATAGGGTCGGAGATTTTTGCATGATAAAAAAAAACAAACAAAATTATGCTCGTAAGAATATCCCTTTGTTGAGAGTTTTGCACYACCACCACCGAGTATATCGCTATAGTTGACTAGAGTACTAARTCAAGTCTTGCAACATGATGTTTCAATATTTATTATAGAACACGGAMGGCGGAGCATATCATTTTGGTTGTGGGCCAGTGGGTGGGGGGAGTAGGAAGGATTCCGCCCAACCTCGACAACATTTTACTGAATTTCCATTCTCACGAGCTTACCTTTTCACACTGATAAGAGCAAATTTTTAAAAAAGTCAGAAAGAAATTACAGCTTTTCACAGCGCACCGTTGTTCCGCGGTTCGCATTAAGTATAGAATGGGAATATATATACACAGCACTCATTTATCGGTGTAAACTATATTGTGACTAAGTTGTTCTTGTAAATCTGCGATGTCACTGTGAAATGTATGGTTGGGGAACGGTCTAAGAACAACTCATTTTATGAATCTTAATCAATCCAAGTAGTTAAGTTAATGGGAGGCAGTGATGACCGGTAAGGCGTCATTGCTGCTGATCAGAGGAGGGCGGTATACTGGACTTCGTATAGCAGACATAAGTTTAGCGGATTGATTATGATCCCCTGTTAAAAATATAATTGTCTGCTACGTGAGATTTTGTGCAGCCTTAACCTCGAAAGCATGTGATATATTCTTTTATTCAGCAGAGAATCTCACTATTCCAATACGTACCAAGAAGACAATAAAAGTCTATGTTTGATTGTTGAAGCTAAGCTTGCACAAAAGAGATTCGAAACTGGAGTTTTCAAAGAACAGTGAATTCAAATTAAGGAGCCTAATACGAGATAAAAACATCAACTTGGCGCACAACATTGTTTCTGTTCAAGTTTAGGTTCTCAAGTTTAGGTTCTTCATCGCGCGAGATGAGCTTGGCAAGCAACAAAATGTTCAAGTTTAGGTTCTCAAGTTTAGGTTCTTCATCGCGCGAGATGAGCTTGGCAAGCAACAAAACCCTTCGTTGCAAATTGAAGAAAGTTATTGTTGCGCAAAGTAGACTCTGGCTCTACTTTCAGATACAGACTTTGTTTCTCGTTTTTCATCGAGATTGCAATTTGGCACGCAACAAAATCAACAAATCAACCAATTTCGTGCGAGATTTGATGGTTTTTGTATCTGGTTATTTGTCGCCTTTACTAAGTTCTGCTGAGGATTGATTCGTATGACTGTGGAAAAAAAAACGTACTTTCACCGCACCGTGCCGTCCTCGAATCAGCATTTTCGTTGGGCGTCACTGCCTGGTGAGATTCTGTGACCATGCGGTTGCATAGTTACGAAATATACAATAAGCATCATTATTTTCTAGAATAGTAATACAATATATCAATATATACGTTAGCGATTTCGATCTATACTCCTTTCTGGTAACACTGTGCACGAATAYAAAGTACAAGATAATGATTAAACCATCACTTAAAGGTGTATTTCCTTTATTCCATTCTATCGTGTTGACTTTCCCTGTCAATGGCCATTATACCATTACCGTGTTTACATATACATGTACCTAATTTACAAAATCTTTGTCATAGAGAAATAGAACTTTTTACTTTATTCAAATAGGGATAATTAGAAAGACAAAGGAAGACTATACAGACTCACAAACGCTTTTCATTGTCTTCCTTATTTTTTTTCGATCTTTATTGCACTAAGTACAAATGTTCTGTTTCTTTAAGACAATTTTTTCGTAATTTGCTGCTAATGATAAATAATAATAATAATAATAATAATAGATATAAGATTATCGGTGATGTAATCTTTATAGCAAGTAACAATAGGCATGAAGTCTATCAGAAATGGTTGTCCGTCTTGCGTTAAGTAATCTTATTTCATCARGTGATGACTTTACTACCTTTTCGTTTATCCTTATCTTTGTGATTATGTTCTTGTGGAATTCTRTCCGCTTTTGCTTTTATTTCTTCTTCTTATTTCTTTTTCTTTTCTTTTTTGTTGACTGTTTCGTGGCCTCTTTGTCATCCGAGCTACTATGTTTGTGTTCATGTCCCWCTCTGTCTCCTTTGGCTTGGTCTGTATAGCACTGAGAATCTCTAGCTTCACAATCTTCCTTTTGGACTTGTGATTCTTTGTCTGTATTCCTGGTTGAATCATCTTTAGATGTCTCCTTGCGTACGAAACTCTCCTCGATACTGCGATTCCTGCCCGCTTGATCAACTTGTTTGCTATAGCCAAGGTGATCTTTGGAACCTGTCCTCTGTGATTCTCTTTGCTTATCAGGGTTTTGCCTCGATGAACTCTGTTCATTATTGTCTTCATGGCGATAATGTCTGTGCTGACCAAATCCTTTAGATTCGTTATCATCATATTCATACTTTCCATCGTGCCGATGACTATGCTGACCAGATATTTGTTGATGGTGTTGTCTCCGTGGTTTAGATTCGTTATCATCATATTCATACTTTCCATCGTGCCGATGACTATGCTGACCAGATATTTGTTGATGGTGTTGTCTCCGTGGTTTAGATTCGTTATCATCATATTCATACTTTCCATCGTGCCGATGACTATGCTGACCAGGTATTTGTTGATGGTGTTGTCTCCGTGGKTTAGATTCGTAATCATCATATTCATAGTTTCCATCGTRACGACGACTTTGCTGACCAGATTTTTGATTATAGTGTTGTCTTTGTGCGTTAGTGTACCGACCAGGTATTTGTTGTTGGTGTTGTCTCCGTGGGTTAGATACGTTATCATCATATTCATAGTTTCTTTGTTGACGGTGGTGTCTTTTTGCGTTAGGGTCGTCGTAGTGGTATACAGTTATTTCAATACCAGTGTCTTTATACACATAATTGATTAATTCCAGTACCTTATCCCATTTTAGTTTGTCCAAACCACACCCAATTTCTGGCATACATACATTCTTGACACCATATCTCATGTTGTGGTTTCTCATTTGTAGAAGGGACTGTCTTAGGGTGTCATACGTTGGTTTATCCCAGTATCTTTCTTTGGTGACCTGAAATATCAATTTACAACCCTTGTGTGAGTTCTCGCGTGATGATTACTTTACCTGGTTCGCGTGTTAATAACAGGACATTCACAGTGGGCTGACACTATCACGTCTCGCACGCGTTATTGAAAAAAAATAATGATTTTCTCAAATTTATGTGAGAAGTACACAGTTTTTTGTTTGCGTTTCTATGGTAATTAAGGGCTGCCACAAAAAAACCTCACCTCAAGATGTCGTCATTGTATAGTTGTTTCTCAAGATGTCGTTGTATGGTTGTTGTATAGTTGTATAGTT